GGGGGGGGGCAGAGAGAGAGGGAGACACAGAATCGGAAACAGGCTCCAGGCTCCGAGCCATCAGCCCAGAGCCTGACGCGGGGCTCGAACTCACAGACCGCGAGATCGTGACCTGGCTGAAGTCGGACACTCAACCGACTGCACCACCCAGGTGCCCCTCTTCAAACACATTTTAATGGTAAAACATTTGATTTACTGTTCCCTACTGTTAGATACATATGGATATTCAATTATCCAATAGTATAAACAATACTGTGATGAACATTTTTGTACAATGATCTTAGCCTTAATTTCTATTTCCTAAGGACAGACTCCAGAAAGGTAACTAATGGAACTAAGGATACAGACATTTAAAAAAAGTTCTTTGATATATGTTACCAAAATGCTTCTTAGACTTCACTGGTAAATAGACCATGTTTCTTTCCAAAAATGTTTATAATAATTAATACAAAAAACAATTTAGTATTTTAGTAATATCTTTAAAAGTAATTTTGTCAAAAAATTAAGGGCATGCTCCAGTGAATGGGAATGTTAATGAAACAATATTGGCCCCATGTGAATAACTGTCAAAGAATGAGCTGCTGGGCACAAAGGGATGCTCTTTCTTTTTTTTCATTCCAATCCAGAGGCACGGGACTGCCCCTACCTGGGCAACCCCAGATCTTTAGATTTTCTAAGGGAAGAGATTCTATTTTTGTATACTTTTGAAAATTTCCATAATAGTAAGGTTCTGTTTAAGTCCCAATTAAGAGAGAAAAGCATCTATGTGAGCAACACATAATTTTTAAATGACAGATCTTAAAAGAAATAATTCTACTTCTACTGCCTTATGTAGGTCAAAATATTAATTAATTTTTGTCTCCCTGATCAAATGACACCTGTTTCTGCAAGCTGGGTCTAAGTCTAGTCATTAAGTTAGTTGCTAATGTGCTCCATAAAGAACAAAGAGAAGGATCCATTTGCATTTCTTTTTTTTTTTTTTCAACGTTTATTTATTTTTGGGACAGAGAGAGACAGAGCATGAACGGGGGAGGGGCAGAGAGAGAGAGGGAGACACAGAATCGGAAACAGGCTCCAGGCTCTGAGCCATCAGCCCAGAGCCTGACGCGGGGCTCGAACTCACGGACAGCGAGATCGTGACCTGGCTGAAGTCGGACGCTTAACCGACTGCGCCACCCAGGCGCCCCTCCATTTGCATTTCAAGTTCAGTTCAGACTTGGTTTTTAAATGTTTGTTTATTTATTTTTGAGATAGAGTACATGCAGGTGCATAAGCAGTAGAGAGGCAAAGTGAGAGGGAAAGAGAGAATCCCAAGAAGGCTCTGCACTGTTAGCACAGAGCCGACCTGGGGCTCAGGCCCATCAACCACAAAATCATGAGCTGAGCAGAAATCAAGAGTGTGGGGTTTAACCAACTGAGCCACCCAGAGGCCTGCAGACTTGGTTTTTAAAGTCTCGTCAGGGTGCCTGGGTGGCTCAGTCGGTTGAGGGTCTGACTCTGACTCAGGTCATGATCTCATGGTTTGTGGGCTGGAGCCCTATATCAGGCTCTCTGTGGTCAGTGTGGAGCCTGCTTTGGATCCTCTCTCTCTGCCCCTGTCCTCATTTGCTCACACATGCACGCGCTCTCTCTCCCTCAAAAACATTAAAAAAAACAAGAATTTATTAAAAAAAATAAAGTCTTGCCAACATTTATTCATTTGCTAAATATTTAAGAACTTTAGTTACCTCTGTTTGTGTGTATTTTGCGAATTTGGGGCTAGGGAGATCTTACTATATACAAATGTCTAGGAAATAATTTTAGCAAGTTAATTCTATAGATAAGAAAATAAAAACAAAAGACAAGAAACACTGATAGGTATCTGGGGAATTCTGATTCTCTACTATATTCCAAGGACTATTAAATGAGGAATTCAGAAGTTTACCTCATGAAAAAATATGAATACTGGACAATGTGTTTGTACCTTCTACCCCCTCTACACATTCCACCTCACCTCCGCACCTCCATTTCAGCGTACCATCTTTAAGGGTAGAGTGAATGTTTGCAGAGCCTCATACACTGCTAGGAGATATTCACAGAAAAGGCACAGCAAATACTTAATGAACTGAAACCAAAGACTTAGCTCTTAAAATGAAAATAAAGGAGCTTCTTTATTCACTGGTATGCCAAAGGTCTACATAAAATCCAGTAAGGAAATACTCTACAATATAAAGGATATCATTCTCAACAATCACTACATCACACATTCAAATGTCCTATATCATGCCGACCTTGAGTGTGAAGCTTAAGAAGGAAAATTTGAGTATTTGATGAGTCTTTGTCTACTCTATTTCTAGAACAGGAGACAAAACAAATCTAAGCATTCCGATTTACCCTTGAAATAGACTGCATAATTTGTGCAGTATTATTTTTTTTATTTCAGAGAACGTGCAAGTGGGGGGAGGGGGCAGAGGGAGGGGGGGAGAGAGAGAGAGAAAGAGCATCTTTTTTTTTTTTTTTAATGTTTATTTATTTTTGAGAGAGACAGAGAGACAGAGCTCGAGCATGGGAGGGGCAGAGAGAGAGGGAATCCGAAGCAGGCTCCAGGCTCTGAGCTGTCAACACAGAACCCAACGTGGGGCTTGAACTCACGAACTGCAAGATCATGACCTGAGCCAAAGTCAGACGCTTAACCAATTGAGCCACCCAGGAGCTTAGACTTTTAAGAAGACTCTACGCTCAGCATGGAACCTGATGCAGGGCTTGATCCCACGACTCTGGGATCATGACCTGAGCTGAAATCAAGAGTTGGATGTTCAACTGACTGAGCCACCCAGGGGCCCCTGTGCAGTATTATTACTAAATTCTTTTTCTATATCTGTTATTGGTAGCCTACAGGCTCAGTTTACCCGATTTAAAGGGCTTTGTAGAAAAGTAAAGATGAAGAGAGGATGAAGGAAAATAGGACATAGAAAAAAACTAGTTATCATTACTGAGAAGGGTATGTTCTGGCTTATTCTTTTCTTCCTCAATGTTAAACTGTCAGCTGATATTCTTTGCTGATCTGAGAGTGATTAACAATACTCTATTCCTTTCTCTCAGCACAGTGCCTGGTGTGTCCTTAATAATAGAAATCCTTAGTAAACATTTCCTGAATGAACAAATTGGAGGAATGATGGACTTGAACTAAAATGACAATTTAGAAGTTCATGTGAGATGCAATGAGTTCCTAAATTAGGACAATGACAGTGAAACTTAAGAAACAAAATCAAAGAAAAGTCAACAGAACTTGATCAACCACTGAACCCAGGACAATTACATAGGTGATGGTCCAGATATGCTTTATTAAAACTGAACCATAATTGTGAAATCCCAAGTTGAAATTAGAGGTAATTACTTCCTATATTCTGTTGATCTAATAAGGAAAATGAACACTTATTTTAAATTTAAGTGCCCACCTCTCCCCATGCCCAAAGACATCCTTAATTTAAGTGTAATTATGTGGTTTTTTTGACAATAGATTACAGATGGGTTATGAAAATCATACAGCAACTGAACCTCATTCTGAAGATTTTCTGCCTTTAATCAATATATCTTACGTACTACTGCCATCTACAGTAAGAGCCAAGAGACTGTAGTAGCCTTGTACTGTAGCTACACTGGTGGGGAACAGCATAAAGTATGGACTTGTCCAATCACTACATTGTACACCTGAAATTAACGTAATATTGTGTGTCAATGATACTTCAATTTAAAAAAAGAAAGAAAAACTAAGGGAATATCTGTATTCTGAAGGGAAAAAAAATTTATATAATTATAAGGGATTATAATAAAGGATTTCATTATTTCACAAAACTTTAGTTTTCACTATAAGAAACGTACTTAAAAAATTTTTTTTTAATGTTTATTTATTTTTGAGAGAGAGACAGAGCACAAGTGGGGGAGGGGACAGAGAGAAGAAGACACAGAATCTGAAACAGGCTCCACGCTCTGAGTGGTCAGCACAGAGCCTGACGCGGGGCTTGAACCCACGAACTGTGTGTGTGTGTGTGTATATAAAACAGGATACCTTTAAGTAGAGGGCAAGTATCCCAAACTAACACAGTTATTGCTAAACTAGCTTCTATTAACACAGAACACTACTCTCTTCTTGGGGCTATTTGAAATTTCTATCTACCATTAAGACTTGGCTTGCAAGGAGACATGTGAAATTTAAAGGGCAAGTGAAGAAAGACAACTGTAAGAAGCAAATGGGTGAGGTTTTAGTCAAGAATTTTTCAACTTAAAAAAATGCTTTTTTAATCATAGATGAGAGATTGAGGGTGAAGGGACAATATTCGGAAGAGACAAGCAACAGAAGAGAGAAATGACACTAAGTGGGATTCTACAACAATTAGGAGGTCAAAAAGAAAGCTCTCATTCCTGTCTAAGAACGAAGAACTGTAAAAAGCAACTCAGAATTAAGGAGACAAATGAAGGCCTGGCTTAAAGAGCCCCAATCTCCTTCCCTTCTTCTGACCTTTGTTTTGCTGACTCTCAGGTTTGTAGTAATGGAGTAAGACCACCTATCATCATCAAAACTGAAGTATAAAATTACTTCCATACACATTAGTTCAAATGGACAATGGAAAGAAAAACTGTCGCCAAAAGAGGAATTCAAATTTGAGCCGTAGCAGTATCACTAAAATACTGACAGGAAACAGTTTCTCAAAACAGAGGAGTACTGTAAGGATGAAACTCGTAAGAGTTTGGGCATGTTTATTTAATTTTTGTGTTTATATAAAAGCCTTTCAAAATACAGACTTTAAAGTCAGGTGCCTTATCTCATTTGCACCCAGTGCAGGGGCTGGTGAGAAGCAAAAGCGCAGTAATGTCTGAAACATACCCTGAACTACCTTCAAATGGGGACACTTACCTGAGTTTAAGTCTCCATGTGGTTTGGAGCTAGATTACATTCTGCACATACTTAGAGTAAATTGTGTAAGATCTTTGGCTTGAATTTTTTAGATAATTAACAGTCCTCAAGTGATCAAGAAAAATGTCATTTCTAGAATGTCTTAAAATCTCAAAGATTTGCTGAAGTCACTAAGTATGTTAAAATATATTTTTGCCTGAATAATGTTGCACTCAACAGAGTCCACAATAGTGAGTATTATGGGCAAAATGTATCCTTATTGCTCTATAGATGAGAACATATGCAAGAGCTGACAATGAAGGTTTACTATTCAAGAGTTTACATACTTTTGCTAAAGGTGGGTGAGACCATTACAGTAAGTAGTTTTTAGAGAAATTGCATGCAACTTTGTTTATAAATAAAGCTTTCTAAAAGTGCTGTATAGTTCAAGCTCTAGCATAATTAAATAATTAATGGAATACCTTCAGAGAAACAGTTAAATATTTTTCATTTTTCATTCATTATTTCTACTGCCAAAGATTAATTGCTCTCAATATAGATGAACTGCTGGGTCATATTCAATTTATAGGAGAGTACGCAGTTTAGGGCAATAGAAGTTATTTTATAAGAAAAAAGAGAACATAAAACATAACAGATTTGAACCAATATAATCAAACAATTTAAAAACAAGAGAATCCTCACACAGGGAGCAAAAAAACCTTGATATTACACATCCAGAAATCACATATTCAAATACATGAAAATTAAACACTGAAGAGCACAGTGGCTTTCTTTTTCTCAAGATTTAACCAGTTATATTCAGATGAAAACAAAATTTTTTCAAAAAGTGACTGAGTTAAGAAATGAACGGGAATTTTTTACCTACAGCTTTAAATTTTAAACTTTAATTTTAAATTAGTCTTGCCCACGCAAAATTTCCAATTCTAAGATTTGATGGTTTTCTTACCATTTGGAGTCCAACATTCACATTTATTGGTCCTAAGGTTTTTGGTAAAATCTTTGTTGGTGAGTTGGTGCTGGAAACTGGAAACGCAACAAATGAAATGTTACCTGAAATGATACCAAATATGAGGTTAACGTCTGCAATATCAAGGCCACCTTCTATCTATACATTCATGCTCCTAACCCCAGTTTTGCTTTAGTAATCATAATTATCTTAATAATTTAAGTTATATATAAGAAGCCTTACTGAAAAGCCATACTAATGATTGCTTTCTTGTAGTGAATATGATTACTTCTGCTGAATAGGAAAACTATAAAATAAATAGTTCAGTCTGCCTGACAGACTTTTAGTGGGTTCTTTGAGGAAAAAACATAATGCAATACATAATGCAAATCACAGTTTATATCACAGTTGAGAAATACAGTTAGGTCTTTATTAGGTATCATAGAATAAAAAGAAGTATGAAGTAGAATATGAAGTAAAATATCCATTAGAATTTATTTATATTTATAGTAAAATGGAAAATAGTTATACTAAAAATTAACATGTTTTCAAAATGAGACCGTAGTTTTTTGAGGTTTTATACTAGAGAAAAAAAAAATATGATGCTACCTAGTTAGTGATATCGGAAACTATGGGATGTGTACAGTGTTTTCAAGTGATTTCAACACTTTAAATCCAAAAAAAATTTTTTAATGTATGTTTATTTTTGAGAAAGAGAGACGGAGCATGAGCAGGGTTGGGCCAGAGACAGAAGGAGACACAGAATCCAAAGCAGGCTCTAGGCTCTGAGCTATCAGCACAGAGCCCAAAGTGGGACTCAAACTCACAGATGGAGAGATCATGATCGGAGCCGAAGTCAGATGCTTAACAGACTGAGCCACCCAGGCGCCCCTCTTTGAATTTCAAATTAAGGCAGCTAAGTGCTACTCCTGAGATGAAAAACTAACCTATAATTTTCTGAACTGTATCAATTATTAACTCCTCTGGACAAACTTCAGTTTATCAATGTTTTTCTTAGTAACCTAATATAACAAAAGAGATCACCCAAGAAAGTATCTGAAAAAGGTTCAATATTGAAACTCTGGGGGAAAAAAATGACAATTAAGGAAACCAGGCCATCAGGCTATATTATAGCTTCTCTTCCTGGACCTGTGAACCTATCTGCACCCTCACATATTTTTACTTCTTTCTGAGTGGAAATTCTCCAATTACTTTAATGTCCCTGCATGTCCTGTCTTCTCAGGGGTCTCACTCATCAATTATTTACTCTGTCTCCTGAGTTTTCGACTGCAGCATTGGCTTCTCCCCTTCAGTTTCTTTCTCTGATCCTCTATCATTTTCCCTCAATACCCACATTTAAAAATAAAATTCCTTGGGGCGTCTGGGTGGTTTGGTCGGTTAGGCGTCCGACTTCGGCTCAGGTCATGATCTCACCATCCGTGAGTTTGAGCCCCACGTCGGGCTCTGTGCTGACAGCTCAGAGCCTGGAGCCTGTTTCAGATTCTGTGTCTCCCTCTCTCTCTGCCCCTCCCCTGTTCATGCTCTGTCTCTCTCTCAAAAATAAATAAACGTTAAAAAAATTTTTTTAAATAAAAAAATAAATAAAATAAATAAAATAAAATTCCTTATCTTTTTCACGCCCACTCAGCAAGGTCTAATACACAAACCTGCTTCACCTTCATGTCCTCAGTCTTGGTATATGACTGAGTCTTGGTAATACCATCAAAATCATCCCAGTGACCCAATCCAGAAATAATCAACCCACCTCATTCAACTGACCACTGTATCCTACTTGTTATCTTCTTACTCTGGTTCCTTTATGCTGCTAGCACTTGTTTAATTTGCAACTTTATTAAATCTGATTCGAATTACATATACCCTCTAACTCAGTGATTCACCATGCTGCCTGTGTGATGGAATTATCTGGGATTCAATAAAAAATACCAAGGCCTCAGTCCCACCCCCAGAGCTGCTGATAAAACTGACTGGGAGTGAACCTGGGCATCAGACTGTTGAAAGTTCTCCAGATGGCTTCAGCATTGCAGCCAGGGCTGAGCACTACCATTCCACCTGGAAATGCTACTTCAAACAGCTAACCTTAACCCTCCACACATCTGTAACAAACCCGTCTTTCAACTGGGGAAACTGCTCTGGACACTCCCCTACTTTAGGCCTTTAAAGATTCCAAACATGTCCAATGCCTCTCAGACTCCTCAACATGGCACAACAGCTCTTATCTGGAGATCTCACCCCTGCCTCCCTTCGCAGCTTCATCTTCGGCTACTTCCTCCACTCTAATCAGGTTAAATATTTTGCAGTTCCAGAAAGGCTCCAGCTCAACCACTCCAGCTTTGGCACACTCCTTTCCTTCTGCTTGAAGTCTCTCTCTGCTGGGACAACTTCTACCTCCCAGCACTTCAAAATGGCATGCCATACTATTTCCTAAGTCATTATTGTGTGCCAGAGTCTGCTCCAGAGGCTTCCTATACATATGTGTGTGTGTGTGTGTATCATTATATGTTATATACATATATAACATATATATGTACATATATATATTATATGTACATATATATATCATTAACACTTAGGACAACAGTGTAAAATGTATTATTAGAGACTCCGTTTTACACATGAAGTAATGGAGACAGAGTGAGGATAAATAATTTCTACAAGGTGGCTATAGCTCCACCTCCCAAGCCTCTGCTCTGTGTATCACCTCCTCCTTAAAAGCTGTCCCCAGCCTCTGTGGTCTAGTTCCTGGATGCCCTTCTGACTTTTCACAAAACCTATGATAGTTGCTTGTTCTAGCTACCATTTACATAGTTCTAAGTGGGCTATGTCTCTAAGCTTTGTAATCCTAGCATCTGGTTTAGTCCCTGGCACAAAACAGATGCACAAAGCTATATAACCATTTGATTAGCATAGACTGGAGCTATCTATCACCTTTTCTAATCTGGATACCATATTTCCTGTAATATAGCCTACGCTTCATTTTTTTTTTTTTTGTGACTTTTTAATAGGTGCCATTACTTATACTGGGTTTGAAATAAGTTAAAATGCTAGGTCCTTTGTTTATTATTTTGAACTGGTATATCAAATAAAGTTTCCTTGCTCTGTAACCATGAAACTGATTGTTTTTTATGTAAGATGCATATCTTACCAATTGCTAAAGATTAAGGTTATATCAAACATCCTAAATATAGTTGTTCACCACTTTAGAATTCACCCTAACTGGATAATAATAATCTATGATTCTACAGGGAGGAACAGCTATGGAATTGATAGACCAGTGCCATAAACTCAGTCCCAGGTAGGACAGGCATATGAGGAAGAGCACAACACTGAAAAGTCTGATTCTCAGATTTATTTATTATAATTATTTTTTAATGTTTACTTATTTTTGAGAGAGAGAGAAAGAGTGAGAGAGGGAGGGAGGGGCAGAGAGAGAGGCAAACAACAGAATTCAGAATTTGAAGCAGGCTCCAGGCTCTGAGCTGTCAGCAGAGAGCCTGACGTGGGGCTCAAACTCACAAACTGAGATGATGAACTGAACCCATGTCAGACGCTTAACCAACTAAGCCACCCAGGTGCCCCTCACATTTATTTTTTTAATTAAAGTATGGCTGACACACAATATTACATAGTTTTAGGTGTACAACATAATGATTTGACAATTACATATATTACAAAATGCTTACCATGATGGGTGCAGTTACCATCTGTCACCATACAACATTACTACAATACTATTGACTACATTCCCTTTACAACCCTGTGGACTTACTTATTTTATAACTGGAAGTTTGTACTTCTTTTATTTTTTTAATGTTTATTCATTTTTGAAAGACAGAAAAAGTGTGAGCAGGGGTGGGGCAGAGAAAGAGGGAGACACAGAATCTGAAGCAGGCTCCAGACTCTGAGCTGTCATAACAGAGCCTGACGCAGGGCCCGAACCCACAAAGTGCGAGATCATGACCTGAGCCAAAGTTGGACGCTTCACTGACTGAGCCACCCAGGTGTTCCTGGAAGTTTGCATCTCTTAATCCTTTTGACCTGCTTCATCTATCCCCCACCCTGTTCCCCTCTGGCAACTATCAGTTTTGTTCTCTGTATTTATGAGTCTGTTTCTGCTTTTATTTGTTCGTTTATTTTTTAGATTCCACATGTAAGTTAAATCATGTGGTATTTGTCTTCTCAGATGATTTTAAAAATTGACCTCAGTGCTGTTGAATGTTTAAAATGAGATCATCACTGACATACTGGTAGAAACAAAAGTCAAAAACTTGCAAAAAACAGTGGAACAAGAAACACAAAAAGACAATTAAGGTTAGGGAACAAATTGACTCCAATTTTAAACCTAACAGTAAAGAAGAATTAAGAGTATAAAACTTTGGTCAAAACAAAATGAAAAACATCACTAAAGCCAAATCTGTTATGTCAGTTAATACCAAAAGAATTTAGAGGGAACTTCATAAATTTGACAAATTGATTCTAAAGTGCATCTGGAAGAATAAAGACAAAGAGAACAGCCAAGAAAATTAAAAAAAGGAATAACAGGGAAGAGGGGAACTTTAGCCTACCAGATTTCAAAATTATTACACAGTTGAAGTGATTGAAATGTGCTATTGCTAAGAAGCAGATAGAAAAACCTTGACAAAACAGAAATTAAAGTCCAGAAATTATTGCATGTATACATGAAAATTTTATATATGGCAAAAGTAGCATTTTCAAATCAGTGGGGAAAGGGTGGATTACTTAAAAAATGTTTTTGCTTGCACATCCAAAAACTAATATAACATTGTATGCCAACTATACTTCAATTTAAAACAAAACAAAGACACACACCTGAAAGAAATGTTTCTGAGACAAGAAGTGTCCACCTGGATAAAAGAAACCTTAGATTTCAATTTCTTATCTTGTACAAAAATCAATTCCAGAAAGATCAAATACTTAAACATAAAAATTAAAGCCACAAAAGTATTTAAAGAAATATAATAATAGTTTTTTATAATTTGGGAATGAAGAAGGTCCTTCTGATCATGTTACAGAATTTAGAAATCTTTAAGTTTATTTACTTTTGAGAGAGAGAGAGAGAGACAGA